CCTATCCAGTATCATTTGTGATAACTTTTTCTCCACTTTGTCCCTAGTAAGTCCAATTTTTGAAGCAATGTGTTCAAGCTGGACGTAGGAATACGGTTCAATTATCCGGCATAAATCTTTTTCGAGCATACTATCACTTAAAGAATTAAAGTGTTTCTTTACAACAGCATCGCACTGCAGTTCATCACGAAAACTTCCAAATGCCTGAAGAAAGAAACTGATTTGCATGCTCTAATAAGTTATACGAATGAAAGTAAACTATGAAGGACCAGACATACGGCATTAAAATCAGCCAGTGACCGTTTCTTGGCAGCCTCAGCAACTGCACGCATGGCATCCAAATCTAATCCACTATATTTTAACGCTAGCTTCGCTGATAAAATCGTTGAAACTTCTTCTGGGGAATCAAGCATTATCTGAAAAATACTGCTACAGCAATGTTTAATATGAAATATCATGAGAACAAGTAACGAAGAAAACAAAAGTACGGAATTAGTACATTCGGAAAACATGGTGTGTGAAACTAGAACTAAAAAATGGAAGTTTGTAAAATGCAACCTTGCTCAAAAGCATATATTTAAGAGCACGTATAGCGTCTTGTTTGTCATTAACGGTGTCGTATCCTTCGAAGGCTTCATAAAAATACGAAAACGCTGTTTTAAAATCACGCTCACTAGCAGCGTGCAAAATCCCAGATTGCATATCGAGGGCAGCTTGCATGCGAGGAGGCATGTAAATTGAATTTGCTGTTGTCCTTGCTGATGTCAGAGCAGCTCTAGCCTGAAAAAAATTCATCAAAAAAAAAACGGACACCAAAAATTTTTTCTCAGATGTTTCTATATCTCACAAGCTTAAATAGTGAAGTATACAGCAAAATCACGATACACACAGCAATCTTGCGTTAGAAACACCGATATATACTAGATATTCTTGAGAAAGCATTGGTTTAATTAGACGTAGCAATAAAGTGTAAGGCTACATTGGGCACTTTCGATGGTGTATGTTAGCACGATGGAATAGAATGTTAACTGGAAAAAACCTTTGACAAATTCCCTAAATGGTAGCAAGCTTTGCTTTCTTCCAGTTGTACCTCAACAATCACATCTTTGTCATCGACTTTCTTCAGTTCGCGAACCAGCTGATTTGCTAAAATGTTCGGTTACTTATTGGTTATGCAATCAGTCAAATTAAACGTACTAAAATTCAAGAACTGAGAAACTTATGTACCTAAATGCTGTGCTTGAGTGAATCTGCGAAGATCGTTATAAAGACGAACAAGGCGAGCCTGCAGTGTCTGTCGCAAGAATGTTCGATTTTGTTCAGTTGCCCACTGTATGCATTCCTTGCATAGGTCAACCTTGGAAATATATCAGTGGACATCAGTGAAAAAAAAATACTTTATTAAAGAAAAAAAGTATTTTTACAGATGACTAAAGAAAGAGCTTTTATTTTTATTGAATCATTTATCTTTTGAATGTTCCATTTATTGTTTCAAGTACTACAAATCCTTGATTGCTTCGAGCGTTCTGCTGATAAACTGGGAGAGGATAGTATGTAAGCTATGAAAGAAATTCAATAATTCCTCATTGATTCTTCTAGAAGCAGTAAGATTACCTTAATATCTCCATCCTGATTATCAATCATGAGACAGAGATCAACCAAATTTCGAACAAGTTTCGCCGCTTTCGCCTTGCCTAATGATACAAGAAATGGACGAGTATTTTCGATCATTTTGCGCAATTCTTGAGTACGTTTATTCTTCGCTAACATATTACCCAGTTCCATAATCGACTCTTCTTTCTTTTTAATATCTGCCTCATCATTCACTGGTGACTTCACTGCAAAAGTTCTCATGTCAGAAACAAAAAAAAAACTTATGTAACAGTACTCAATTAATCAATTTTAGAGATTTCTGAATTATCTAGACAAACAAAGAAAATAGCCTTTTTCGTGGGACTCAAGTGTGGTTCTGAAATGTAGTAACAGGCCAAATGATTCATTTGAAGTTCGTGTCCAGTATTACTGCAGAGAAGAATATACCACTAAAATAACCGCTAAGAGACCTGGAATAAATCGAAGAAAAAAGCATCTTAAAGAACCAAGCTTTACCAAAGCTGGTGAGATAACGTATAGCGTTATCTTCGTTCATGTGTGGTGCAGATGACATTGTATCCATGGCAGTGCCGCCGGACATTTCTCCTGCAGCAATTCTGGATTTGTTTTCTCGTACAGAAAATGTGCTTCTAAAATACGGGAAAATATATCCCTAATCCAAGCTCTACCTGAAATGAGGAAAGAAATTAAGGATGAGTGGGACACCAGGAAGTCTTCAGAAATTCTTGGGATTAGAAACTGATCCAGGAAGCTTTTAGATGCTTAAAAACTGATCCTCAAAAACATAATCGACGACAACTTTTAATATAATTATCTTACAGTTAATCATAGATTCTCCTGAAAATTTAAGTGTCCCATTAACTCGTCCCAATACTGAAAGCAATTAGTGGAGTCCGTTACGACTATAAAATATCCATGACATTTATGCCATTATCAAAAAACTCTTTTCACCCTAAGAGAGTTATAATCGAGAAGTGGAAATAGCAGGAAGGAAGCTTGGTGAATCTGAGGAAGCCTCAGGATTAGTTTGATTTATGAACAAGTGCTTCTCGACAGTTCATTGAAAAGTCGTGTCCACTGAAAGCAGGAGTTCGTACGCTATCCTCTCATCACTTATCCCTCAAGAACTTCTCTATGCATATCATTTGAGGAGTGTGTTGAAAAACTTGTGTAGAACACATCCCTATCACTTTTGTACGCAACAGAAACTAAACAAGACGGAAATTAGCGGTATATTCTGCCATTTGAAAGATCAATAAAAGAAGCAATCCAAGGGATACCCGCCCCATTAACACACTCGCATCTTCATAGCACACTCACGCATCATTCACAACCACGAGTCACTAGCTATCTACCGAGCGTACGAGAAATTAATGTCATATCACAGCTTGCCGTAATGAGCACCACTCTACAAAACGATGACACTCCCAATCTACCGTACATTGTAAAAGTAGCGAATCTT